GCTGCGTACTGTGGGTATGGTTTGGGTTTTAGTTCCCTAGGCTTGCAGCAGATGGAAACCTGAGGCAGCAGCATGCCTAGCTCCAGGGAGAAGAGAATACCTAATAAGTTGCTCTCTTCCAGCTAACCATTGAATTCGGTAGTTTCTTATCGAGAACTGCCCACATCCATTTGTTTTTATTCCTTTTCGTGCACACTTGTGCCAGAGACCAAAAATTGATCAAATGATTGCTCCTTGTCCAAGGACAACATTAGAAAGCACTTAAGACTGTGCGTCTGTGAAACATTACTTTCATATCTAGAGGCAGTTGGCCATGTTAGTCTGAAGTCAGGGAGAACATAGTGCAGGGAGGTACCTGAGAGAATTAACTGATTCAAAGAAGCAAGAGTTTTATAGGCACTTGTTGCACTTAGAGCTCATGTGTCTCTGAATGTTATTTTTAAGGTGCCACCCAGTCCTACCTTCTGCCAGGTCTTGTGTTTTGCTTTCTGCAAGTCGGCACAATAGATTAAATTAACTAGTTGAGAAACTTGACTGCTACAGGTTTTTTTCTTGTATCCTGGCTAGCTTGGTAACTAGAAGGCCTTTTGAATTGTTTTCCTCCACTTCAAGAAAACTTTGCAGCCCATGTTGATGCTGTAACCGAAGTGCTGCATTCAGCGTTAGTTACTGGTTCATGTCTCCAAGAGGAAAATTTAAGGAGGCTTTGGAAACTCGTATGTGAGATGGGGCAGAAGAGCCAGTTTTAAAATAAGCTGAGATATAAACCTTTTTAAAAAGGCATATTGACAAACTGCATCTAGTGTGACATGACAGGGTTTTTGCTTAATACACCAGCAATGATGGTCTCTTCCTACCTGCTCTTCTCTACAGAAGATTGAAGAGTTTTAGATAACTTTTAGGTTAGACGCTATGCCACAACTGAGAGCCCATACCCTTTCCCACTCACTCAGTCTGGGTGTTTAAAATGCTTAATCTAGAGAGTGTGTTGACTAGAATGTCTGTCTAGCTGTAACACTAAATTGCTTTATTTTTTCTCTTGCAACTGAAGTCATCCATCAGCCCTGGGTCCCAGGTTTGGACTTGTCTGACTCTTGTTTTTATGCTTGCTCTCCTGAAGTGCTTGGCTTTCTTTCCTAAGACTAGCACAGAGCAACATCTTTCTAATTCTTCTGAATAACATAGTGAAGTCCTTGATACCCTTGATTTTTTTGGGGGGGGTCCCCTTCCCTGCTTTGATTATGGACAATCAAGGGTGTTAGGTGTCTTTACTTTATAAGGATTTCCTTATACAGTAACTGCAGCAGGTACATGGGGGTTCCAGATGCTTCCTGTTAGTTTTCCCCAGTATTTTTAATAAAAAACACCTCAGGGCTTTGGGGGGGGGCTTTTTTTTGCGTGTTTGTTTTTTTAATATGGAGTAAGAAGGTAAAATTCTGGTGATATTTAGGATTACAGTCATTGATCAGATTACTTCTATTTGGCACTTTTGACAAGGTGATTCAGTTAAGATGGTGGCAAGTAGAATGATCTGTTCCCTCCGCATTAAGACTTACGAGAAAATAGTGTAGAAAATACTCCAAACTCACTAGAGGTACGTTTCTGCTTATTTCCAGGAAGCCAGCTATACTTATCTGAAGCATTTCATCTATAATGCAGCTGTTGCTTCTATTTGCTCACTGCAGGAAAATACACTCTGGGGCAGTAACCCTATTTTTTTTTTTTCCTCTGGCTGTCATTCTTCACAAAGGTTAGGATTTTCAAAAGTGATTGGCTTATTTTGGTTGCCCAGTCTGACATCTGTCAAAGGGCAGAAGCATGAGTGTTTGATATTTAAAAAAAAAAAAAAAAAAAAGAGATCACCCTAGTTGGGCACCCAAAATTGCTCATCACACTTGAAAAATCTTGATCAGTGTCTTTGTATTCCCTGTAAGCTCCTTGGAGCAAGGACTGTGCCTTGCACAAAAACACGACAGCCTGTGAATGTGGGAAACCAATACTGGCTATCACTTACTCTTGACCAACCCCTTCAAGTTAATGCTGATATAGGTATACCCCATATCCCTCATATGGGGTACATGGACACTTTCTATTACTACTTCCTTTAGTAAGCTAAATCCTCCTAGTATAGCACAACTCTTATGTGCAGAACTTGGTAGTAGTGGATCAGATGTAATCAGTGAAACCATTCTGCCACATCCTGTAGCTTGCTTGCCTTGACTTTGTTCAGTACAAGAATTGCATCAGTTCTTGGATATTCGCTTTATCAGCCATGGTTTGTACAAGGCATAGTGAATGTTCTGTTTGGATCCAGGAATTTGGCACGTGATTCTATTATACAGTAGAACTATCTGTTAGAATATATGATGATTTAAGGTCAATATATAAATGGAATCCTATTATATCTAACAAGCTAAATCTAAAACCAAAACACCCCAATATGCTAGCTCTTCCATTCTTAAAATAGGTAAAAACCTTATGGTCTTTACTTTTAGAAAGCAATTGCCTTTGTTTCACAGAAAAGAGGAGCAAAAGTTTGGTTGATGGGTGTGTTTGACCACTAACCAAGCCCCGGAAGGAAGCTGATGGGCGTGTTTAACCACAGAAGGAGATCACAGGAGGGGTAGTTTGCCAAGTAAACAGTAATCACGGCATAAATAGAGCAGGCAAATTTTAAAAGAGAAAAAAAAAAGTGTACACTTCAGCAAGCTGTATGCCACTGCTGTGAAGCAGGGATGAGTAACTGAGCACAGATTTTTAAAAGCAATTTGAGACGGAGGATTAATAAGGCTGACAATGCACGTTATATCAAAAATAAGTATGTTGGTTTTGCAGGGGAGCAGAGTGATCAGTGATCTCCTAAGTGGCAGTTTTTGCTGTAATTATTACTCGTGTATATATAAGAGTTAAGAGGAGCAGAGTGGCTGACACCCAAGCCATAAATGGGACTGCACTCTATACCACAAGGGTTCTTAAATAGTATGTATGACCTTGGTATGACTTACAAGTTAACCTTTTGTGTATGCAAGTTTCCAGTTCTGTACAGTATACATGCAGATTGCAAAATGGTGGTTTTAAAGCACTTCTAGGAACAGGCAAAGCAGCTAGTTGAGAAAATGGAAATAAAATAAATGAGACCAGCCTGCAGCTAGTTGAGAAAATGGAAATAAAATAAAGGAGACCAGCAGCATGTCCTGGCAAGGTACTACATGCCAGTGTGTTTGTGCACTGATATTTGCTACTTGGCAAAACAAGTCCTTCAGAAAGTTGGGGAAATCCTAGGTGCTGGTGAAGTAACCAACCTCTAGTTTCAGGAATGCAGTGCTTGTGGTGTTCATGTCTTGCAAGAAATGATTTAACTCTTTACTTGCATGCCAAGAAAACTTGTTCAAAATTGCTTTGGAGTAGAATAAATTTATTGTAAATAGTCTGCACCTTACTTAGCAGCACAACAATAGCGTTGTTTTCAACTGACAGGAGAAATCTAGCAATTCAAGATGCATCGAGTTGAATTAAAACTGGGTGCATTGCAGGAAGTCTCCATAGACTAGTTTGGAAGTTAAATGTGGAGCTACGGCAAAGCAGTTTTGAACTTCAGCAAGATGTATTTGGATTTTGCAGAATTACTGTCTTCTTTTACAGATGGTTTCATCAAGGTCCTAACCCCTACACTGGAGCACAGGACTGGCTGTATTCTGGCAACTACTGGGACAGAAACTACTTTAATTTACCTGATATTTACTAAAATGCAGTAAGGAACCCATGGATAATGCAAATAAGTCTTAATCTGTTTTTTATGTTCTCTTTATTGTTTCTACTCATCTCCTGGAAAAACTGACAAGTTATTAAACCAAATATTAAGCATCTCCAGCAGTGAAATATGGTGGTACAGGACCTGAAAGCCCTCAGAAACCATGCTTGCTTTGGGTTCTGAAATACTTGAGGGTGGTTCTTGGATGGAAAAAAAAAAAAAGATTCAATTGTTGTCATAGTTTAGTGCTACCATATTTGCTGAATACACCTATATTAGGTCTTGGTGTATAGGAAATAGAACATCATCAGATGTTCTGTGAATCCTTTCTTTTAACAACTACGTTGGCACAATTGAAACCTTTTGAGATGACATGGACAGACATGACATTATTGTGACATGAATGTTTAGGAGCACATGTATGAATTGCAGTATGCTGTGCTTAAAGCTAGAGAAGAGCACATCATTTTTTTTTTTTTCCTTTTTGTAAAGACCTCCTTAATTTTCATACAGTGGATTTCTTTACTAAGATAGCTCCTTAGAATTCTGAATTCTGGTCAGTGATTCTAGAAAAATTACTGTCCCCAGAATGTTGATGAAGTCAGTTCAGCTGGTAACATTACTCCAAGGTATTTATTCCATGTTTAGTGCAGTGCGTTTTGGATTTGTCCTCTTGTTTTTGTTACACACTTCATTTTGCTGAAGGAATTAAGAGCCATTTCAATATTTGCAAGTTTTGATTTTTGAACTGCACACTAGTAACAAGTTTTTAAAAAATCTGTTTAATGCACTAAATTGTGGGGTGCTTGGCACCATTGCAGAATGGCAAAAACCTTTTAAAAACAAAGAATCAGGACCCAGTAGAACATTACTACTGGAGGAAACATGCACCTGTGTGTACTGTACAAACAGCTCCTTCGGGGGAGGTCTTGTGCATTTCGGTCAGTAAGGCACCTGCATGGAGACTACTGTACACAGCAGCTTTTACCCCTTTACTTGGGGTGCATTATGTTGAGGAAATACATTTATATAGAACCAGGGTACAGAGCTTCCAGAGGGCTAGCTGCTCTTTGTATAATATTTTAACTGCGGTCTGGAGGTTAGTGTTAATATGAATAATTTAACTGCTACTGAATAAAGGCTTTAAAGTGTTCTGAGACTTTTTTTTTCCTGAAAGGTGGGTGGGTGGGATTCAAATGGGTCATGTAATGCATACTAGCTTCAGAGCAGAGCCCTTTTCCTTCTGTGAAATTACCCCATGTGATTGTTAGTCTAAAGGATCTGAACATGGTGCTCTTAGTAGTTTTTCATTTTAAAAATTTCCGTATCAAACTGTACTCTGTACCTCCTCCTAACCATCCGGCCCCAAATCACACCCAACAAGGAATCTGTCCTACAGTCCAGGTCATGTTCTCAGGGACATGGCTTCTCTGTGACTTTCAGTAGGTTTACTGGAATAGCAAGTGTTGGGAGCCAGATTTGGTTACCTCGTGTGCTAGCTCAGCACTAGTAACCTTTGTCATAATGCAAGCTGCTAGCACCCATAGAAAGCTTGTCTTACAGTTCCTTAAAACCATCCATTCCAAGGAGTTCATCTAATGTAATATTTCTCAGCTTCTCTGAGTTGTTTTAACATATACTCAGTGACAACTTAATGATCTAATATTTATTCCTTGGAGCTGTTTGATTGGTTTGGCTGAAACGTGATGCTGTCAAATGTCTGTGGCATTGACATTTCCTAACTGCTCTGTTGGAGTAATAGTGGCTGGGGTCTAAATGATCTTATGAAGCCATTTTAAATTTCAGGGTGGAGACTCTCCCCAGTGCTACCCTTCATGTCTACAAAGCTTAAGAGTGGGGGAAAAAAATCATTGCCCCTATCTAAAGTCAAGTCCTACCAAAATGGGTGCACTGTCTTCCAGGTAATTGGCACGCAAGGTGCTATTTCACCAACACCTCTAAACATAGACTATTGCGTATAGCACTTGGTTCCTTTCCTCTGCTTCTGGAGTTCAAATAAAATGGAAGCTAGTTTTCAATTCCTGGTGTGTATATTGGACACAGACCCTTTTTAGAGTAGAAGTGTAATTTTTGTTATAAGTTGTACCAGGCTAATTTTTCCTCTTACCTTGCCTATGAAATAACACCTTCATCTAGTCATCCATATATCTTGAACCAAGAATAATAAGAGATGATTTACTCTTACACTGCATTCCTAAGTTACGTGCTATGGAGAATGGGTATTATACCAACTCAGTTTCTTTTTTCTTCAAATGGGAACAATGGAAATTTGACTGACTTCTCAGGAACAACCTATATGATGCAGTGTGCTACCTAATAGCCATGACATGCATTAAAAAAACCCTGATTGTTGGTATTTAATTTTATTGGGTCCTTGTATTTAAGTTAATCAGTTTTATTCTTTAAGATGCATATTCCATTCCACAGTGATATCCAAAGGGCATCTCTTACCTGTTTTGAGAAAGAAAAGAGTTTACTTAAGAGTGCACTGAACATAATATTGTTTCCTCTAAAGCAACATAGTTGCTTATATGCTGCTAGAGCATCTAGTTAATGATAAGATGGTAAATTGTGAACACTGGCCATATCAAAGTTTAAAACCAATGATTAGAAGGCCCCTCCAGGTTATTAAAATGTATCCTTTAATTTTACATTGTTTGCTAGCTTTTTTTCAACCATGTGTTGAAAAAATTCATCTTAAACTAGATTAGTATAGGCTTCAAGCATAGTTTACTGGGCAAACAGGCCAGCAAACTCTTATTCCAGAAAATCATTCAGATCTAGCTATGCCAGAGCAATGTGAATAGCCTCCATAACTACAATGGCACAGGCTTAACTACTGCTGCTATCTTGGTTGGAAATTTAATTAAGCCATGGCTGTGAGACCTGTTGTTAAGTACACAGGAAAAGGAGTCAAGCTGAGGTGTGAACATCATTCAGCAGAACTAGTGGAGGAAAAATACTGTTCAACTCCATGGGACTGCAGGAGTCACTACAGGGAAGATGCTTCAAGGAATAAACAAGAGCTCAATTGTTATAGTCAGGAAGACTTAAGTAGATAAACCTACTTTTAAAACAGGCCAAGTCCATAAGCACGTGGTGTCTTTTAAAGGCTGTGGGCCAAACTCATACAGTGGGATTAAATTGAAATAAATCTGGTAATGATATGATGCTGCTAAAGGTAAGTTCTCATCTTCCTTCCCAAATTTAACTTTTTAGACATAAGTACTAGAAGCTGCACTATAATAACCTATCTAAATAAATTTAGCATATTTATGTATGCTTTCCTTTCTCCTGCAACTTCTTCCCTGCTTATAAAGCATTAGGGGAGGTGGGGAAGATGGGATAGGACATTACTGCAGCCCTTTACAGCTTCTGAAGAAGTTTACCCAACAGAAATGGAGTACTAAGCACATAGTTGGCCAAGACTGTTTTTCCTTGTATAAGAATCCCTCCCTTGCCTACAACTTTTCTGGCTGTGTGGTTGATACCTTCCAAATGAAAGCTATGAAATACCAGCTGCACACAGTACACAAAGGTTGTCTTTCCCTCCACTAGGAAAGCCATTCTTTTACATAGCTGCACTATTATTTTCTTCCTAAACATAGGTTTTATATTTACAAGATACAAAAAAAATGGCTATCAACCTGTAAAAATACTCTGAATATTCAGATGTGTTCAGCTCTTTGAAAGAGTGGGGAGAAGAAAAGTCTACCTGCAACTGAGGTCTTCCTTTCTACTCTTGAAAGTTATGAGAAGTAAGACTTCTCCAGGCCCAATGCATCACATTCTCCTCCCCAGTATCCTACTTGACCTTATTTATACTAGAAGCCAGCTTAATGCAAGTTGAGCTACTGCTTTTACATGCCCACTTGTGACAGCTTGCTCTGAGCTTAACATTTCAGAAATTCAGGTTGGTCTAAGTGCCTGGTGTGTTTAGCAGAGTCTAAACGGCATAAGCAAGTGAACTTAGCACCCAGTTTAAAACCAGGCCTACCTTCTCATGAGTCTGCTCGGCGAACCAAGGCAGAAGTAAATGTAATCTCTCCTGCAATGCCATAGCTTCCTGCAAAAGGATTTGCTTGCTTATCGCCTGAGCCCCTCTTAGCAGACATTACATCATCCAGGGGTATGGCAACTGAAAGAAAAACGGGGGTTGGTGGTCTGGCAGGTTCCTGTGCAGAATTAGGATTGGGGTTTGGTGTGACTGTTTTCAGATCAGCTGCTCTGGCCACGGGTATAGGTACTGTGGTGAATCTCCTCACAACACTAGCATCTTGCTGTGCAAGGACAGCATGGCCAGGAATAGATTTCCAGTCCTGTGCATTCTGTACAGTAGAGCCCACCAAAATGAAAGGTGGTGCATTTCCCTGCTTGCTTTCTTCAGTCATCACATAAGTTGGAGAGGATACTTGTTGACCTTGTGTCATCTGTTGCTGTAGGACCTGTTGTTGCTCCTTCCCACTAGATATATAGAGGGTTGCTTGGGGATAAGGAGCACCAGTTCCCGCAGGAGGAAGGGGTGGTGGTGACTTTCGACCTTGTTGACTCAAATCAGTTAGACAATAGAGAGTCCACACATTAGAATATGGTGGTGGTTGTCCTGCTTCGCTTGTTGCCATTGCTATAAAATAAAAATTTAAGAAATTGCTGGTATCAGGAGCTATGAATGGCAAACATAAACATGTTGTATGCTTGGACTTGCAATACTTACAAATGCCATAAGAAAGCATGTCTGAGAAGGTGGTTTGGTGGCAAATGGAGCTGAAATGAAGTGTTGCATTGTGGAAACATGATGCTGCATTTGTGGGCCAGGAGGTGATCCAAGTCCTTCGCTTCACCAGCTACTAATGGTCTAGAAATTTCCCTGGTGACTGGCAGCTTTGCCAAGCCAAGGGCAAAGTTGAGTTTTGCTTTAAACACGAAACTTTCCAAATAGAAAGATGCTGCTACATCCACACTGATATGCAGCAGCATCTTGAAGCTTCAAAGCAGAATTTGAGCCAGAAAGTTTTCAAGTAACTGAAAGTGGGGACTTGGACTGAACCAGCTCCTTCACACCAGAACTACAGCACCATGCCACAGGATACAATGCTTTTCTTGATTTCAGCCACATGGGCTCTTTTGTCTTAATGAAAACACTCTTCTGTACCATGCTTTGATAGGGTTTATCACCTCTACTCTCCTTGGGGCTTGGGAAGAGCTGAGAAGGGTATCTGCAGTAGTAAGAGGAATCAGGCAGACGGGTGACACTGGAGGGCTTCTCCAGCTGGGATTAGGATAGGTGAGCTGGACACTTGTCCCAGATGGAGGACTCAGGGGTTGTGCAGCTAGGAAAAGAATCTGGTTAAGGCGCTTGTCAGTAGGAATTTATACAAACCGCACCTCGCCAAAAAGTGGCAGACCTCTTGCCATCTGCAGCAACCCTGAACCCTCAGTGGACTGGTGCTAGTGCACCCACCCCCATCTCATCTGCAGAAGTTCTCTGGACCCAGAGGACAGCGCAGGCAACCACCACCATTTCTTGTTTTAAATGCAAAACACCTATGTTAATGCAATTGCTGGGACCTCAAATCTTGCAAAGTGAGGACATCTGAAACTACGGACACCAGTAACCCTTATGCAGCCACAGGGCATGTGTATTACATCTTAGATTCTCTTACATCTGCTTCAAAATGTGTGGCTTGTCTTGAACAAAACTCATCCCGGTTGAAAGGAAGTGGCCACCACCTGCTGCTTGGCATTTGCATGCCCCACAGTGGTGCCTGAAGTGCAACCTATCCTTCAAGGCCACAGCAAATCAAGTGGGAACCTGCAAACCCATCTCTGCAGCAGGGCATATTAATGCAGGAGCAACAATCCGTCTTGCTCATAACCCGTCACACATCTTGGAACAAATTGCAGAGAAAGATCTAATACATGTGCACTAAGGCTGATGACTGCTGTTGTGGCCTATACCTCTCCACATGCCCCAAAGCCAGAAAGTTTGGTTTCTACCATGCATAGCACTGACATAGGTGCTTTCACATTTTACAGCTACCTCACAAGTTACAGTTGTTAGAACCTGGAACAGGAAGTTGACATAAACATCTGACTTTCTTACCTGATATAACATAACCTGGTTCAGCTGATGCCTTTTGCGCTGTAGTTTCCATTCCTTCAGGGTCACATTCTGCATCGACTGCAGATGGATCTAAGATTTTAGTGCATATAAACTGGCCTGCATTTAGTAGGGGCTGAATCTCTAAAAGACCAGCTACTTGGTCTATAAAGGGAATTACTATTTTCTGTGGAACCTGTTCTATGTAAGGTGGAACCTCTCCTTCAGTAACAGGCTCCTCCTCATTGTTATTCATTGGCAGAACCTGAATGGTTGATGTAACTTCAATTTCATTGGGGGAAGGTGCAGCCTGCAATGGATCGTCAGGAGGAGGTGGTGGGGAAGGTGGAGGTGGTGGTTCTTCCTGCAAGGGGATTGAGGGAGCGTGGTTTGTATCACTGGCTGATTGTTCAACCTGACTGCCTGAGGAACCTAGCTCTCTGGTCATGGAAGACTGACTCTGAGCACTGGACTCTGACCTAACTGACTCTGCAGAACCCTCAGCTGCTGGGACAACTGTGGCATCTTCAGCAGCCCCTTCTATTGGCACAGCTGTTGTGTCCTCTGAGCTCATAGACACTTCGGGAAGAGTCTGCACGCTTGTTGCCACATCCTTCAGAGAATGAAGTGAATCACTGTTACCTAACAACTGTGCAGCAAGCTGGGCGGGATCAGCTGGGACATAAGCAAGGTCAGGTCCCTTAGGGGATGAAGGTTCAGGTCCTGTTGGGGACGATTCATTTTCTGTAAGTTCACTGTGAGTTGATGGGTATTGCGTCGTTTTGGCGCTACAGTCAGGTACAGGTCCTTCAAGGAGCTGGTCCTCCTCAGTGTCAGTAGATTTTTCCTTCCGTTTTGGTTCGTCGAAAAGTGGAGATGCCACATTTGCATCTGGCGTAAACTTGTCTCTAGCCTCGGTTTTCTTCTCTGATAGTCTCTCAGCCAAGCCGTCTACTAAGAAGAGCAAAATGAAAAGAAGTTAGCAAGTGTCTTCACTGACATGAAACACAAGAATTGTTATTGCCCTGGGGAATTCCTCATGCACAACCGGTCAGTACAACACTTCATTTAATCACTGCACTGAATTTATCAAGCCCTTCTGGATCTGAGACAAACAATTTTCTCTTACTTTCTTGTGTATGGATGAAAAATAAAAGCAGCAGAAAATGAAAAAAAATTAGTGATAAACTATGACAAACTCTTTTCAACTACCTAGTGGTTAAATACCTACCACACCACAGTACAAAAAAAAAAAATAGTCAGCAAAAAAGTTGAATCCTCTTTCCAATAGTAGATCAGTCCAGCTAATAAAAAAAGTGCTTAGCAGTCAAATTACAATTTGCTTTGGCATATACCCAGTTTCTCAAAATTCTTTTGGATTCACACAAGTTCCTTTGGATGTACACATTGCATCAGCATCCATGTCTCCATCTGAAAACATGCCGTAAATCTGGTGTGCATGGCACTTATGAAGTGTGACGGTGATGGGTAGGAGGGACATAGTACTTGAGCAAGCTTTGGATGGTGTGATGGAGGGAGAGAAGATCCACAAAGGGGCTTTGAAGAATGAAAGAGCAGGAGCTCTTCAGTTTCCTACTCCAGGACTTTCAGGCTCTACACTACGCTGCTTCCTTTCAGTTCTTAGATCCGCACTATGTACTCACAGAACACCAGCTCAAGTGTTCCTCAGTACTTTAAGTTCCTCTTACCCTCAGTCAGCAACGTTTTCAGAGCTCCCCTCCTTTGTATCCAACCCTGCTGTGAGAACCCAAAGACCATACTGCTCTCAAGAATCTGTTACAGGCTTGCAACACACTGCTGAGAGTAAAGGAATCCTTGGTTCCCACATTTTCTCCTCTGTTGTCACTCCACAGTCCCTCTACACTAGCTGTTTAGTACCGCCCTCCCAGTGATTCAGACAGTTATAAAAGCTCCTCCTCAGTCCTCTCTTCTCCAGACTAAACCATGCCAGTTTTTCTGAGTTTGTCCTCCAAGACATATTTCCCATAGTCCAACAGCCTTTGTTGCTCTCCTCTAGACTCTTTCTAATCTGTTCACCTCTCCCTTGTAAGTGTGGGGTCCAAAACTGGACACACTAAGTGAGGTCTTAAAAGTATTTCCTGTGATTTGCAAGTGACACATTCCTGTAGAGCCCTGCCCCCATTGCTGACTGGGTTGTACTGCAACAAAAGCACACTCCTGGCTCTCTCACAGTTTGTGGTCTGCTATAATCCTAGGTCCTTCTCTGCAATTCTGCAGCGTAGCCAATCATTCCCCAGTCTGGATTTGTGCATCCAACGGTTCCATCCCAAATACACTTGCAAACACTTGCTTTTGTTGAATTTCATCCAATTGATTTCAGACCACTTATTCAGGTCATTCTGAGTCCTAGCCCTGCCCTCCCAGGTGTCATCTGCAAATCTATTAAGTGTGCATTCACTTCCATCCTCCAAATCATTAATGAAGATAAACAATACCAGACCCTTGGGAAACTCAAATTTCCACACTTCATTATGTAAGAAAAAAGATATAACCCACATGGTGCCTAAGCTGCACCTATTTCTACTGCTACAGCTTGTGTGAAGACTTAAGGAAGCCACTGCAGCAGTCAGCCACATTGGCACATCAATAAAGCACCTTCTGGCACTGTTCAGGAGCTTACAGTGTGAATGGAAAGTTGTACCCAAAGAGCTTTGCCCTGTAGATCAAGCCCTGTTCTTAAGCACTCTTGCTCAGTGTGGCTTGTTCACGTCAGCGAGGCGTATTCTTGTCCACTCAAGTTTGAAAGATTCCTCTGCACTACACTGTCACTTAAAGCGAAGTGTGCGGTGCCTTGCAAGGTGGCGCAGGGTGACTTTTCTTACCTTGAGCAAAATGAAACTCTCTCACCAGGTCAATGATGTCCACGTTTGGGTGCTCTGGAAACAGAGAGATGCGTTAGCACGGAGTCCGAGCAGCTGCGCGCGAGCTCAGACCGCGACGCAAGGGAAGCGCAAGCCAACGGGGGTGGGCACAAACCTCCTCTGAACGCAGTGAGCTCTCGGAAGTAGAGCGCGGCGAACTCGGGGATGTTGCTTGGGTTGCATTTGAGTATGGCCCTGGTCAGGCCCTCCAGGAGAGTCTTGAGGCCATAGGGGACAACCAGCCTGGGCTTCGCAGTGTACATCTTCGGCAACTGCAGGCCAACGATAGTCTCGCAGCTGCCGGGAACAGGGTAGGGATCTCTGGCACAGTTTCCAAAGCATGCGTACGCGTGAGTGCATGCGTGCGTGCATGTGGTGGGGGGCGGGGAGCGTGGCGTCATCACAACTGCTGCTAACGTCACTGTGATGTCATAGCCCTAGCCCAGCCCTCAGCCGCAAACACCCACCAGAATGAACGAGAGCATGGAGGGCGGTCCTCCCTCCGGCGCCCCTGCATCCCTCCCTCAGCCCCTCGGCTCGGGAGGGGGCGAGACTCAGGAGCAATGGGGATCTACTAGAGCCCCTGTGAAGCCCTGAACCAGACCCCGCGCCCCTCCCCCCGCCACCGACCCCACCTTCGTGCTTCGCGGCTGCTCCAAAGCTCCCTCCGCCGCCCCTCGCCGGAGCCTCTGAGGGAGCAGCGCCGCCCGCTGGGCCTTTTATAGCAGGGCACACGATGACGGCGCGCCTGTGGCGTCACAATGCTGCTGAGAGGGTCATTAATGAAATGGGCGCGGCCGCGCCTGGGAGCCAGCCAATGAGAAGTCACAGCGGCGCGTTCCGCGAGCGCGAAGGGCATCACGTGCGCGGACTCGAGGCGAGGGGCGGCGGGGCTGCACCTCCGGCGGCCCTGGGGAGGGGAGGGAAAGACCTCTGCCAGCCCCTCCCTCCGGAGCAGGGGTCTCCGCCGGTGCCAGCATCCCCCGCGGGGCGAACCTGGTCACACCGTCAGCCTAGAGCTTCCAGCGAGGAGCCCCCGGGGTTAGGAACAGCCAACCCTGCTGGGGTCTTTCTGAGGGACTCGCAAGAGAAGAATGGCTCTAGTCTTCTTGCAGGCAGAAGCAGGAGGGAAAGCGAAGAGCCGGCACTGTCAGGGAGGCTTTGAGTCTTTAAAAAAAAAATAAATTTAAAATTTAAATTGAGCACTGATGCAGGCGCTTACCCCACAGGTCCAGTGCACTCCTGCCCTCCCACAGGCTCTCCCTCACCAGAGTGCACCTAGAAGCAGAAGACTGAGCTTGAAAACCCGTCTGTCACAGCATCTCCCCACTTCCTCCTCCTCAACTGCCATTCAAACGCTTGTCCTGTTTATAGAAGTATATGCCAAGCCCCAGTTCTTCCTTGCATAGAGAGGACAACAGCTCCCTGGCGTGGAGAGAGGCAGGTGTTTCTAATCAGACCTCCGCCAGGGTCCATATTGCCATCTTCCACTTTACCAAATAAGCTTCTGAAGTCTGATGCAAGTCTGGATCAATAAAAACTGAAAAAGGCCAACCCTTTTTTTTTTTTTTTTTTTTTTTCTACAGCAGCATGTGTTGCAGTGGTTCAGCCTTTCTCCCTTAAATGTGTTTCTGGCAGCTAGCTGTTGGGGACCTACAGATCGGTAGCCATCTGGGGGACAGTGACCACCTAATAATAGAATTCACCATAAGACGTCGAGTGGGTAAGGTAACTAGTAGGGTGAAAGTGCTAGACTTTAGGAAAGCCGATTTCAATGAACTCAGGCTATTAGTCAAGGACGCACTGCAGAATAGGAGTTTTGAAGTGATGGGAGCCCAAGAAGGGTGGCTGTGCCTTAAGGAAACGATCCTTCGAGCACAAAGCAAGACGATCCCCGAGCGAGGCAAAAGAGGGAAAGGGGCCAGGAGGCTTCCCTGGCTGACCAGAGAAATCCAGGGCAGCCTAAGGGACAAAAGGGGAGCACATAAAAAGTGGAAACAGGGACTGGTCCGTTCTCCCTTCCACTCTTTTTTTTTTAAAAGAGAGGTACTGTGTTTTGCATTCTCTGGGACTTCACCTGTCTTCCAGGACAACAAGAAATTGTTTTTTAGATATATTGGGAGTAAAAGGAAGGCCCAGAGAGGAATAGGACCCTTGCTAAATGGGCAGAAACAATTGGTGACGGACAGGGGGGACAAGGCTGAACTCCTCAACGAGTTCTTTGCCTCAGTGTTCCTAAGTGAGGGGCACGACAAGTCTCTCACTGGGGTTGTAGAAAGGCAGCAGCAAGGCGCCAGACTACCATGCATAGACCCTGAGATGGTGCAGAGTCATTTGGAAGAACTGGATACCTTTAAGTCGGCAGGCCCGGATGAGCTCCATC